AAATGAAAGAGAAAGTGAATATGCATAAATAATAAGCATCCTCGTAGCCGCAATTACCAGTACTCGTTCTTTATGCTATCAACCTGAAGAAACATAAAATTAAAATTCTCAATGTCTGAAAATGAATCAAATTCTGATAGTTTACGGAAGACATAATATAGCAAACCAAATTCCTTCAACTTTCTCCCTCCGATTATCCATCTGGGTGCGGGAGCCAATAACTCTTATCACCTGAAACTTTCATCAATCATTTTTCAGCTATGGACTGAACAAAAATTGATCATCAGCTCATGGAAATACCAAAGAGAAAAAAAAAAAAAAACAGTAAATGAAAGAGAAGACGATAGAGGAATAGCATGCCTTTTTTGCAGGTAGAATTTCTGGACAATGCAGTAGACACTTCTGGCCTTGGCATTGCCTGATAGCTAAGCGTTGAACCGCCAGTTATATCAGACTCAAAACTGGAAGTGGGTTTCTTGGGTTGTAGCGCACAAGAAAGAAGTTCTTTCAGGCTTCCAGCTTTCTTTAAGGAAATCTGATTTTACAGGAGTTGATAACTGGGATGATGTGAAAATAATAATAAGCAACTGTGCTGTATTGTTAATGTATAATAATAACAATAATATTTATTTAAATTGATAAAATATTATATTTATATATTTAATTAAATTATTTATTTTATTCGTATCTTATCGTACATAATAATAAATAAAATATATATAAAATTAAAAAATATATATATATAAATATAAAAAAGTAAGGATATAAATGTAAATAACAAAAAAAATAAGGGTATAATAGAAAAAAATCATTATTAAAAGTTTAACTAAAAAAAAAAGGTGGTGATTAGTAATAATTAAAGTGTTAAATTTAATTAAATTAATATTTTATTAAATTGTTACCACAAACATGCGTTGACTTGTAAATCCATGACAAAGTTTGTGTCTGCATGTGATTAACACAAAGCTTAATTATATTAATTTTCAAAGCTTTTATGGTTAACAGCTGATTAAATTGTATCATTAATTGCAGAAATAATTACCAACTGAGTGTATATGTATACATACATATATATATATATATATATGAAGCAAAATGTCTCTATACATTTTCTGTGTCCATTTAAATTGCATACAAAGGGTTTGTTCATAGCAGCAAAGTATCAGTACACGTTCTTAATCCTTTGTTTGCAAACCATTCCAGTTTACCATAAATTCATTCTTCATCGCAGTTTACCAACATGAAGCTACGCACAAAATGAAGAACGAATTTATGGTAAACTGGGATTGTTTGGAACTGAGGATAAAAAACATGTACTGGGTACTTGCTACCATGAATAGGCCCTTCAGCTATTTACTTCCTCTTTTTCTTCTGTTTCTGCAATACTTCGTCTTCTTCCTTCAGTTCTTTGCAAGTCAAGACATTTTCCTCACAGAGAAAAACAGCAGAGAATAGTGAGCGACACGGTAGTAGAAAAACAGCGATAAAATGGTTAAAAATATGGGATGAAGAAACTTTTTTGTGAACATAAGAGAACGATGATAAATTCATTAGCCAAAGGATATATAAGCATGTTTTCCAGAAGAGCTGAAAGCCATCTCATCGCCTTCCCGCTGCATTTGAAAAGAGAACAGATAGCACCATCACAACCATCTCTGTTTTACATATCAAAATCTTACTAGTAGCTGATAATATCCTTGGTAAACCCTAATCTCCTGCTCGATTAAAAAAGAAAAGAACTTTTTTTTTTTTATAAATTCTGGTTAGAGCTTCTCAGAACCCGACTGAATTTCTAGACGTCGCCAGATCAAGACCACACCAAGAAAATAACCAATCCAGAGAAAGACCCACCTGGGAGAGTTATTTTCCCATGCAACCTTCGTACTCAATTTCGCGGGTCTCCTCGACTTCTTCTTCAACCCCGACCGTAGAACACCATAGCTACGGCCTTTGATTTCTCTGCATCCTCGTCACCTATGCCTTTGATCAAATGCAAGTAAAGAAGAACGATAAACAAAATTTTTTCACAGAAACCCAAATCAAGAACCATGGAAGAACGATGGAACGTTCAGCGCACGTGGACACCAGTCCTCGCCTTCGACATCAGGGATTTTCTCAGAGGAAGAGGCGTCAACGGCGGTGTTCTTGCCAGCACAGGCAGCTTCGAGATTAAATACTTTGATTTAATCTCATCATCTTTTATCTTTTATGAATATCATGTTTCTTTTATGAATTCTAGACCTACGATATCAGGTTTTACCTCTTCTGATTTTTATTTAAGCACCGGCATTTCCAAGATAGTTTGCGAGAAGGAATTCTAGGTCCGGACAATATAGAACTATCTTTCGAGAATTTCCCGTATTGCTTCCCCGGACCAAGGAGTTCCGATCGGCATATCTCCCGTTGATGACGCTGCCCCCTCGGCTGCCTACGTTCCGAAAAACAAAAAAGGAAACCACACAATCTAGAAAAAGGAAACAAAATTTACAGCGCTACAACCAAAAAGATTACCTTGGAACATTTCTTGGAGTGAGGTGGTGACCCGGAGGTAAGAGACGGAGATGCCGCTTAAATGAAGAAGAAGAGGGTGGTTTTGTGGAGAGAGAAATCAAGGAAGAAAAGAAAGGAGAAGTCCATAACTGCAGACCAACGACGCTGTATATATATACATATACATGTATATATATTTAACTATTTTGAAACTAACTTTTAACGAACTTACCGACAAATATATTACAATATATCTCGATATATTTTTCTCTGTCCACTTAAATTGACAGTCTTATGAGTTGTTTTGACTTACTCCCGGAACAACATCTTAAAGTTGACTTTTTCTGAAAAAAAAGTTGACTCCAATGGGATTATTAAATGGGCCAACTCACGGGAGTCAACCTTTGGACATTTTATGTGGACTGTTTGGTTTTGTGATTAAGTCGGCCCAATATCCTTTTAAAGGTCCAGGCTTAACCCAATCCTTATCCAGGTTAGTGGTTAATTCACATACATGTTCCTATGTTTGGCAATTAATAGCTTTTTTTTTTTTTTTAGTAACAAAAATGTTCTTTCTATTTATTAATCCATTGCGGATATTCGACTAAAAAAAATTCAATAGTTACGAAATACTTATTTTGTATGAAAATGTTATAACTTGTTAAGACAAAATTTAACTTGATCACTGTATTTTTACTAATACGATGATGAATTATATTCTAAATTTAATGAATCAAGTATTATAAGTTAACATTTACGTACAATCCACTCGTAAAATGATAAATTATATGCACTCAATAAGGTACAAAATTTTGAAGTATAGTACAAAAATCTTAACTATAATACCATGTTGATGGTAACAAATATTTATAATTATAGTACAATTGAGAGATAAAATGTAATGCATATTATTTCATTATTCAAACTTTAATGATAAATATATATTATAATTTATATTAAAATATATTTTTATAAATACGATAATAATTATTAAGACGAACAGTAATAAATAGGTTATCATGAAACAAATGACAATGTGCTATTAGTTTTCTTATAAGATTATTTGGTATTTTAAAATTAGAATGAAGGTATCGAAGTTTCGAGAATTCTATAAGACCTTCCTCAAGCTCTTTAAAGAACATATGAAAGAATGTCGTTAACAGTCGAGCTCTCAAAATCGCCAGTTGTTTCAGATGCTCGCCAAAGCTTTAAAAAAAAAGCCAAAGGTTACGCCCACATTGAAACTGGTGGGCAAGCACTCCCTAATTTACTGTTATCATTTTTGTTAAAATTATTTAAAAATAATTGGCATGATCGTACATTATTTTACAATATAAAAAAATAAAAAATTCTAAAAAAATAATCTTATTTTACCGACGTGATTTATTTAAATTAAAATTTTAATTCATTATATTATTTATGGAACTACAACAATTAAATTTCATCGAATTTAATGCAGGATACGAATGAAAAAATATTTTACGTTATTAAAACTTGTTTATTTTGGATAATCGCAACTTGATTTATGGCGAAAACATAAGTAGTGTTTGGGAGTAAGAAAAATTTTAGATGATGGAGGGATTGAGTAGCAATAAATTGTGACCAAGCGTTTGGGATGAGAAACAAGAGGAAGTAAAAACACACACGTATTTGACAAAAGAAAATTTGAAAAATACAACAATATTTCCACAACCAAACAAGACCTTACGAACCCAACCCCGTGACGTTATCTTCCAATCGCATGCAAACAAACAATACATTTCCCGTATCTTCCACCCACGCAACAACCAAACGAAACCCTAATACTTACTTACAAATAATATATATATATATAATAATAATAATAAATTAATTACGAAAATTATTTAAAAATTTTAATTAATTAATTAATTAGTTTTAATAAATGACTGAATATTTAGTTAAATATTAAATTAATAATAAAATAAAAAAACACATAACTATTTTTTTTAAAAGCAATTTATATAAAATATTAGCTTTTTCCAATAAAAAAACAAAAATGTCACCCAAGTTATGAGAGTGACCCTCTTATCCGTAATATAAAAAAATTATTTTATTAGATTAATATTTTTATAATATTCTACAAAATATGTGTATGTATATTTAAAGAATATGAAGATATATTATAAAAATAAATTATGTTTACTATAAAAAATAAATTGTTTGGCAAAAATGGGTTTTTATTATTTAATCCAATATAATTTTTTAATCATACTATATTTACTTTGTTTTAAATTTTCAAGTTAAATTGATTTATTTATAAATTTTAATTTAGGTTAAAACGAGATATTTATTATTGTAATATTTTATTGAAATTAATGTATATAAAAAATAAAATATTCGTAGGCCAATAATCTCATATATATATATATATGTATACACACACACATCTAACTAATTAATTTTCATCTAATAAAAATCCAAGAGGGTAAAATTGTAATTTCAAAAAATTCATTATAAACATCGAAAAAAGCCCACAGCGAGCCCATTTCCACCCAGCAACAGTGTCTTTAGTGGCTGGCATGCTTGGCGTGCCTTATCTCAGTTTCTCTTCTCTCCAGCTCTCTCACCTCCTCCTCCTCCTCCTCCCCCTCTCTCATCCAAAACCCAATCCGGAAAATCTTCAGCTCTAAAACCCTAAAGAACCGAGACCCTCTCAATTATCTGATAATTCTACAAGAGACGGAGTCGAGGACATCTGCACCGGATATGGCGTCATACGGCTCAAACTCACCAGGTTCTTCGTCGTTCTCTTCCTCCCCTTTATCTTCTCCTGATAATAGTATTGTTTCTTCGGTGAATGAAAATGGTTTGGTGGCGGATAATGTTAAAGATAGTAGTAGTAGCAGCAGCAGCAGTGACGATGGGTTTATGAGCGGTGAGGATGAGTTCGAACCGGCGTCGGATAGGCCAATTGTGGCGGTTCCCGACGAAGAAACCGAGGAAAATCTTGCTGCGGGGGATGTTTCGTATTCCCCCTTTGCGAGTTCTTCGGAGCAATTGATGGCCGCGACGGTTATGCCGATTGCGAGGGTGTCGGAAGATGATGATTTTGAGGATGAAATGGGAGAGGTTCCAGATATTGGCGATTTGAAGGAGGATGATGAGGGGGCAAATGAGAGTGTCGATAAAGGAACAGAGGATGTTGGAGGAGGGGATTATGGAGAGGATGAGGTTGTGGTGGAAATGAATGAAAGCGCCAATTCAGGTGAAAGTGGGCATGAGAAGGTGGAGCTAGGAGAAAATGACTTGGAGGCTAAGAAGGTTGTAGAGGAACAGAAAGGCGCGGTTCCTGAGGAACCTGTTGTTGTGGTCGAGACTGAAGAAGCTAGGGAGGCAGTTGAAAAGATTTCAATGCCTGGTGGTGGAATTGAACGGGAGGATCCTGCAGTTGGAGAGCCAACTGAGTTAGAGGACTCAAAATTAACAAAAGGAGGAGACCATGTTACGGAGTCCATACAACGGGTTTTAGTGGAGTCAACAGCTGTTGTTGTTGGGGATGTGGCAGAATCTAAGGAGACTGAAGTTAAGGGGTTCAATGTTCCTGCTCAAAAGGATGTGAGCTTGGACAATGGGTTTGATCATGTTAACCATGATGTGGAGGAACACATTGATTCGAGTATTGTGCATGATGGAAATGTCGAACATGTAGCCAGCAATGATGTTGAAACACCGGAAGTTAATCCTAGTGGAGTGAAAATTGATCTTGTGATGAAAGATAATGGTTCCAATGCCAATGTGGTTAAGACTGATTCAGTTGCTGAAGGTCATGATGGGGAAGAAATGGAAGCTCATGTTTCTGTTGGTAGCAAAGAGGAGAAACCAATGGCAGAAGTTGTGGCTGAAGCTGATTATGAAGCTGAATTTAATGGATCGAAAGTGGAGGCCTGTGTGGAGGTGGCAGCAGAAACTGTCTCTAGTGACAAAGTGGACGAAGAGGGTGGAGGGGCAACTCAGCTGGAGGAAAATTTTGCTCAATCTCCGGGAGCTACTGTAGCTGGTGAGCAAGGACATGTTGAGAATGATAGGACATTTTTGACTGTGAAGGAAGAGAAGTTAGAGAATGAGGTACTAAGTAAATTAGATTCAAATGCAGTAGAAAAAAGGAGTGTAACTTCCACTGGGGAATTTGGTGAAGCAGATGAGGAAAAACCTCAGGTAGAGGGAGAAGGTGAGATCGAAGGCTCATCAACGGATGAGGAGACTGAAGGTATGATATTTGGAAGTTCTGAAGCTGCGAAACAGTTTCTGGAGGAGTTGGAACAAGGCTCAGGTGTTGGTTCTCACTCGGGTGCAGAAAGCTATCATGACCAGTCTCATAGACTTGATGGCCAGATTGTCACTGACTCAGATGAAGAAGCAGATACTGATGAAGAGGGGGAGGGCAAGGAGTTGTTCGACTCTGCTACATTGGCAGCTCTCCTAAAAGCAGCAACAGCTGCTGGCTCAGATGGTGGAAGTGTCACTATAACCTCACAAGACGGGTCTCGGCTTTTCTCTGTTGATCGTCCTGCTGGTCTGGGATCCCCACTGCAGTCTGTGAAGCCTGCATCACGATCAGTCCGTCCTAGTATCTTTGCTCACTCAAATCTCATACCTGGGGGAGACTCAGAGACTAACTTGAGTGAGGCAGAGAGAAAGAAATTGGAGATGTTACAGCAGTTAAGAGTAAAATTCTTGAGGCTAGTTCAAAGACTAGGACATTCTCCAGAAGATTCTATAGCAGCACAGGTTCTCTACCGTTTGGCACTTGTTGCGGGCAGACAAACTAGTCAACTTTTTAGTCTTGATTCTGCAAAGAAAGAAGCCCTACAGCTTGAAGCTGAGGGGAAGGATGATTTGAACTTTTCGCTGAACATACTAGTTCTTGGCAAAACTGGGGTGGGCAAGAGTGCTACAATTAATTCTATTTTTGGGGAAGAGAAGTCCCTGATCCATGCATTTGAACCTGCCACCTCAGCTGTGAGAGAAGTAACAGGAACAGTTAACGGAGTCAAAATTAGGGTCATTGATACCCCCGGTCTGAAATCTTCTGCTCTGGAACAAGGTGCCAACCGCAAGATCTTATCTTCCATTAAGAAGTTTACTAAGAACTTTCCTCCAGATATTGTACTCTATGTTGATCGATTGGACACCCAAACCAGGGATCTGAATGATCTACCTCTGTTAAGATCAATAGCTAGTACTCTTGGTTCTCCCATTTGGCGAAATGCGATAGTCACCTTGACCCATGCTGCTTCTGCACCTCCAGATGGGCCATCTGGCTCGCCTTTGAGTTATGAGGTGTTTGTAGCCCAGCGTTCCCATGTTGTTCAACAGTCTATCGGGCAAGCAGTTGGTGATCTGCGTCTGATGAATCCCAGTTTGATGAACCCAGTTTCTCTTGTTGAGAATCATCCTTCCTGTAGGAAGAACAGAGATGGAGAGAAGGTGCTCCCTAATGGTCAGTGTTGGAGACCTCAGTTATTGTTGTTATGCTACTCTATGAAGATTTTGTCTGAGGCAAGTTCTCTCTCAAAAACTCAGGATCCATTTGACCATCGGAAGCTCTTTGGGTTCCGTGTTCGTTCACCGCCTCTTCCATACCTGTTGTCTTGGCTGTTGCAGTCTCGTACGCACCCAAAACTCTCTGCTGATCAGGGTGGTGAGAATGGTGATTCTGATATTGAGTTGGACGAAATGTCTGATTCTGATCAAGAAGATGTGGAAGACGAGTATGACCAACTCCCACCATTTAAGCCTCTTAGGAAAACCCAGCTTTCTAAGCTTAGCAAAGAACAAAGGAAGGCATATTTTGAAGAGTATGATTATCGGGTGAAGCTCCTTCAGAAGAAGCAGTGGAGGGAGGAGTTGAGGAGAATGAGAGAGATCAAGAAGAAAGGAAAGGTCGCTCTAGATGAATATGGTTTCACAGGGGAAGACATGGATCAGGAAGATGGAGCTCCGGCTGCTGTGCCAGTGCCATTACCTGACATGGGTTCTGCCACCTTCATTTGATGGTGATAATCCAGCTTACAGATACCGGTTTTTAGAGCCAACTTCCCAGTTTCTGGCAAGGCCAGTTTTGGACACTCATGGTTGGGACCATGATTGTGGGTATGATGGTATCAATATTGAACATAGTTTAAGTATAGCTAGCCGGTTCCCAGCGGCAGTTGCTGTTCAAGTCACAAAGGATAAGAAGGAATTCAGTATCCATTTGGATTCCTCAGTTGCTGCCAAATATGGGGAAAATGGATCAAATATGGCAGGTTTTGACATCCAAAATGTTGGTAAGCAACTTGCTTACATAGTCAGGGGAGAGACCAAATTCAAAAATTTCAAGAAGAACAAGACAGCTGCTGGAGTGTCTGTTACATTCTTGGGTGAAAATGTGGCTGCTGGAGTCAAAGTTGAGGATCAGATTGTACTTGGGAAACGTTTGGTCTTGGTAGGCAGCACTGGAACTGTTCGATCTCAAGGTGATGCAGCATATGGAGCCAATTTGGAAGTTCGGCTCAGAGAGGCAGACTTTCCAATAGGCCAGGACCAGTCGTCTCTGGGCTTATCCCTGGTGAAGTGGAGAGGTGACTTGGCTCTTGGCGCCAACCTTCAGTCTCAGTTTTCCATTGGACGGAATTCGAAAATAGCGGTTCGTGCAGGATTGAACAACAAGCTCAGTGGACAGATCACTGTCCGAACTAGTAGCTCAGACCAGCTTCAGATTGCTTTGCTGGGTATTCTTCCAGTTGCCATGGCAATCTACAAAAGCATCCGGCCTTCGGTTAGTGAGAATTACTCTATGTACTAGATGCGGATAACATTTTTTGTTCCTCTGTTTAGGTGCGAAGAATCAGTTTATGTTTTCAACTGTTGTCGTTTGTCCTTCTTCAATAATGTTTAAATTTGTATGAGCTAGAACTTGTTTTTATGGATCCAATTATATTAATTTTTTTGAGATAATTTCATGCGGGAAATCTGTTATTTCGCCAGTTTATGTTCTTGTTAAGAGTGATTGTCGACTCAGAGAAAGAATCTTGTAGGATTTAGCTACCTGGTGTAAATGTTTTCTTGCCTTCAAACCAGACAGACAATCTCTGTGTGGAATAAACTTGTTTGACTTACGATGCGATGAGGGGCTGCGTTGATTTAGTTGTTTGCTACTAGTTTTGAGCTATGATTCCTTAAGTAATCTTGTTGAGTCTTTTAGGACTTGTTTTCTTTTCAGTGCTTTCAGCTCATATAATTTATGAATTGGCTTAGTTTTATTCTCAGTCCTCGAGTTCTTTTACCTTCTCTAAATTGGTTCCTGATTTTTAAAATTAAAGCTAGTGACTTAAAACTTTTTCATTTTGTTTCTTACAAAACATAATTCTGTTAAATACTATCAGAATCGGCATGTGGTCGATACGTCCTATTAGTCAAGCAAGATTGGAGATGCTTTCGATCTTAGTGTTTTAAATAAATGGAAGCTCGTGAGCTCATACGTAGAGCTGGACTTTGGGGGATGAAAAAGAGGAGATGGACCAGATGGTTCACGAGAGGATTCCACGACCTCCTCAAAGTGAATTGTTTTTGTCACGGACGTAATTTTGTGCTGAAGAAAAATAAATTGATGGGTATTTCTCATAGGTCCACAGACATAGGGTGATGAACTGCAAAGCCTTACTTCTTTTAGCAAGATCCCGTAAGAGAGCATAACAAAAAATCAAATTATTGACTAGCTTTTGCTATATGTCCCTTGGTTAATTTTAAGGTCCTTTCTTTTGGGTGAAGACAACTCTAGTTATTGGGTTTATTAGAGAGCCTGCCAGTGTATGTGTGGTACCAAAATAGTGAGTGAAGTTGATGAGAGTGTTCACTTATTCTTTCACTTATTGGTGCCATGGCTGCGGAGTCATGGCAGGCAAAACTGCTTCAAGCTCCAGGCTCCAACATAATCGGTATGTTAGAGGTGAAACTAGCTACCTGTTTAACCAATTCAAGAGCTTCATCATAAAGGTTTATGGATTTACATTTATATGTCAGACGTGCCAAAAAAAAAGATGTATCTGTGACCGATGTTGCAGAAATTTGAGCATTGGAAACGAAAAGCAGGAGACGAGATTATGGTGACTGGATGAGGAAGATAATTCCGAGATTTATATATTATTAGAAAGCAGGTGTCTGGGATCCTTTTTTTGGTTTGATGATGATCTTGCTCTGTTTTCTGTTTTGACATGGTGTGAATGTGCTATTCTTGCTTACTCTGATTTGCTTTGCTTTTGGAAGGAGCTCTCTTTTACTTGGCTAAATTGTTCAGTGTAAGAGGTGGATTAATAGGCATTTCGTAGTTATTATGAATTCAAAATTTTTGTAGATATGATCACAATAATTAAAATTTGAATGTTGGGAATAATTCCTCGATGTTCATGTTCCGGCAAAATCCAAATGCACAAAGACAAGAAACCCAACACCCATTTCTTATCCATCTCACTTGAAAGTTACCCTCACCAACAATGCAGTCTCCTTGTTTCACTGTGCCATGGCAGATTTACCATTGGTAGTGGCAGTTACAGGATCTCCATTATGACCTTCTTCGAACATCTTGGTGATCCTCTCGATCGGAATCATCGGCAGGTACGACGCCACGGCGTACCCCCTCTCCTCGATGTAACAAATCACTTGGTTGTACTTCTCCGACCCGTACGCCGCCGTAGGGACTGCAATCTCGGCCACCTGCGGGAACAGCGGCAGCCGATTCAGTGTCTGCCAAGCTGACACCGCGTACTGCTCCGCCACTGGCTCGTAACTCTCGTAAAGTTCCTTAGCCGTCGGCTCGTACTTGGCCAACACGCTCCTTGTGATGCTTTTTGCCGCGTCCACCACGCCGACGCGATGCACCTCGTTGGCTACGGCTTTGGCATGGTTACCGGCCTGCTTCACCAGTGACGGCACGTGTTTGTCCACCTCCTTTAATGACTCGTCCACCTGCAAGTTCGTACTCCACCATGTTTAACCAAAACGAAAAAGTTTTAACCATCAAACAGATGTAAGAGACAGCCGGGGAACTCAATGCATGCCGTTGGATATGGACCTTGCGGTCGAGGAACTTGAGGAGCTCGAAAGGAACGTCATGGAATTTCTCGTAAACCGGTCCGATTACAGTTTTCACCGTTCCTTCGACGGTTTGCACTCCTGGCCTCAGCGGACCAGAGTTCTCCTTGGCGCACTCGTAGAGGCTCGAGAAGCAAACCGCTATGTAGATCGCAGCAACTTGCACGAATTCAAGATGCTTGAGCTTCTTCTCGTCGTGATCTTCCATCTTCCAAATCGAAAATTAAGTTAAAAACAAACAGTCAACAAGCAGAAGAAATCTCATTACAGGTGACATCAAACTAAGAAAATGGAGGAGAGTGGAGAAGAATCAAGGTCCGGAAAAGAAATAAAAGTGCATGAATGCTTACGGTTTCAGCTTGTTGCTGTTTGGCCTCTTCGGCCATGCGTGTTTCCGCGATAATGTTTAGGAATTCTCGGATTGAACGAGAGGAGAAGCAGAGCTTGGGTTGATATGTAACACGGACGATGGCTCATCCTTTAATAGCGGAAAACAGTCACAGGCGGCGAGTCTCCGCGATCATCTGCGCAGTAGATTTTTTCCGCCACGTGGCGATTGATGAGGCGGTTGATGGTACCAAATGTATTCAAAATCTGATGCCGGAGATTGATCAGTGACGACACGTGGAGACGGGAGGAGAATGTGATGATACCAAGAGAGGCATGGACACGTGTCATGTTTTGGTGGGGCTGTCATCTGTACGTGTCGAGACGTGAGGGTAGGATTAGATAACTATTCTCTGCATGGGATTGATAGGTACGAATTTCCATGGGCACGAGGTCCAAGGTAGATGGGTGGTGGTGGTGTACGTCATTCTCTTTCGAAAAAGAAAGAGAAGCGGGCGCGTGAAGAGTGAAAGTTTACGGGGTTCAAAGTCTGATTGGATGACTCATACGCGAAGATTCATTAATGTTTGGTATGCTTGTAAAGTTTATGAATATTTAAATTTAATTATATTTAAATAATAGTTTATTAATAATTATTTTTATTTAAATTAATAAAATAGTATGATTATATATTTAAATAATTTTTTATTTTATATAACATTAAAAAAATATAATATTAAATATATTATATATATAATTAAAATATTATATACAATTAAATATATAAATATAATATAATTAAATATATTATATATATGTATATATAATTAAAAATATAAATACATAAATATAATTAAATATATAAATATATATAATATTTTGAAAAGAAGAATAAGGATATAAGAAAACGTGTTGGGTAGAAAAAATTAAAGAGAATGGTACTGTTGTAAATAATAAAAAATATTAAAGATATAAAATTAAAAAATTATTAAATTATCATAAAATTATTAGATCGATAATTTAAAAAAATAAAAAAAATTATAATTTTAAAAATCATAATTTAATTATAAAAAAATTATACTATTATTATTGAATCATCATTTAAACAATATCTAAAGAATATGAGAAGAGCGACAAAATTTATTTAATTAAATTAAATTTAAATAATTTCTAAAATTAAAAAGTAAAATTTTACACTTACCACCCATT